CCTTGAGCCCAGAAGTTCAAGACTACAGTGAGCCACTTTCCCACCACTGCACTCCAGCCAGGGAGACAGAGGGAGACCCTGTCTCACAAAAAGAAAAGGAAATCAGCTGGGGTCAGGGATGGGTGTGGGTTGGGACAGCAACTCTGATCACTCACCATTCCAAGGTGGAGGCTTCCAGTGGGCTGTTTCTTTGCTTGGGTACATAACAGCTCCCCCAAACTGCTGTGCCCATTCCACATCTGGCTGCCACTGCCGAACACCTCTGGGGAGTTAAAGACAAATCCTAGACAAAGGGCCTGAACAGTGTGTGGTTCCTGTGTTCCCATTTACTCTCAAGGGGATCCAGGAAGGATGTCCTGTTTTGTTTTTGTTTTTGTTTTTTTTTTGAGACGGAGTTTCGCTCTTGTTGCCCAGACTGGAGTGCAATGGCACGATTTCCGCTCACTGAAACCTCCGCCTCCCGAGTTCAAGCGATTCTCCTGCCTCAGCCTCCCAAGTAGCTGAGATTACAGGCATGTGCCACCAAGCCCGGCTAATTTTGTATTTTCAGTAGAGATGGGGTTTCTCCATGTTGGTCAGGATGGTCTCGAACTCCCGACCTCAGATGATCTGCCCGCCTAGGCCTCCCAAAGTGCTGGGATTACTGGCGTGAGCCACCGCGCCCGGCCACTGTCCTGGATTTTTTTAATGCCAAGTCACTGATCTGAAGTTAATGTAGCTTCGGCAAAATAAGCTGGAACTCTAAAGGTTCAATTCCTACTAACAAATTATACCTGGAATAACTTCACCCATCACCCCTGGGCATGCAAGGTTGGAATCCTAGCTTCTTTATATTTTCATCGTATTGATATTATCAACCAGGTGAACATGAACGTGAGAAAAGTGTTTATTCAAGGTCAACGACAGAGACAGCGAGCATTCTGGCTCTTTGGCTGAGTTTTACTCAGGTACAGGAGAGGTGCATTCAAATTACGGAAACTAAAAAGCAGAGTCTCCCACTCCGCTGATTTCACCTCTGGACTGAATGAACTCTAGACCCTCTCCCCTCCCTCGCCAGAGTGGGCGCCACCGCATCTTGTAGCCCAAGAAATCAGGGATGGACAATGGGGTCACAGTCTTGGGTTATTCTTTTCTGGGGGAGTAAAGCGTCCCCAACCTGAGAAACCCTAGCCTTGGAGAACGTGTGTCGAGGGCTGCCCTCGATCTCACCTGCTGGGCTGAATCGGCAGTCGGACTCCAGCCCCAGGCCGCAGGACCTGGGCCGCGACGCCCCGGAGGCCGCACAGAGCCCTCAGCGCCGCCATCTTACTCCGGCTGCAGACTGCGGGAAGGTGAACCGGGCGGAAGTGACTCCAGCGCGCCTCCTTGTTGGCTTCTCACCTATTCGCACAGTGAAGCCGCCCTTTTGGAAGCTGGCAGGGTCGTTTACCGTCGACCTGACAACATCCGGGTCCTGTGACTCGGCTTCACTTGCGTTTAGATAACGGTGACAGCCATCATCTTTACTGAGGGCGGTTCCTCCCACAGCTCCGGGCTGGCTTTTCTAGGAGCGAGCAAGGGAAAATTGCCGTTCCTGCGAGGGGCAAATACTTCGTGCTCTCTCGCCGAGCCCGCTTGCGCATCTCGGAAACGTGCGGCGCTTCTTTCCCTACTCCCTTCCGCCTTGGCCGCCCTCCCGCTTTAGTCCTGCTCTCGGATTGTATCTGAGCCCTGCCCTTATAGGGTAGCCCCAGGCTTTGCCAATTACCTTCCCATCACTGAATCCAAAAGATCGGAGTCGGGAAAGCCAGCTAATTTCCAGATGTCCTAAATTGAGATTGGAGAAAGGAGCCTAAGTGGGGCTGGGCGGGTCTGAGAGCTCCCGCCAAACCAAAACAAAAATGAATAGGATTGCCAAGGCCACCGGCATTGGTGGTGCGGAGGGGAGTATCGGGGTGTGTAGGAGCCACCTCATCCCACATGGGGGAATGGAGTCCTCTGGGTGACCCTGACATCCGCCAGGCTTCCCGAACCTACAGAATCATAGACCCAGGAAGCGCCCTTAGAGATGCCTCACACCCCACTTCCGTCCTGCGTCAGCCACTTTTCCCTAACGTCTTTCTGACCCTGCTATAGCCCTCCTGGGTAATGGCCAACAGCATGGAAATGTAGTAGCACCAGGAGTGTGATCCCAATTCTGTATGGACAAAGACTTTTCCAGCCTTAGAGGCTAGTTCCTGTTTTCTCCCTCTGCCTCTAAGCCCAACTCCAGCTGGGCCACCCACCCGTAGAGTCTGTACAACTCTCCAACTCTGAGCCTGGAAAGACGCCTTCCCCAGATATCCCCTAGACAGGATCCCTGGGACACAGCCCACCAGCAGCGCAGCAGGGTGAGGCAGACAGACCAGGAAGCAGAGACGGAGGAATTCTTCACTGCAGAGAAAGAGGGGAAAGCCAGACTTCTGGCCTGGGAATTGACCTAATGGGAACTGTACCAAAGGGTGGGGCCAGATCCTTGGCTGTGGGAACTGACCAGGACCTGGGCTAGACAAGGGAGCTGCCACAGAGCCAGGGCAGAGGTCTGGTCCCTCTGCTCTCCTCATTCCTTGCTCTTTCCCTGGGTCTTCTTTCTGTCTGTTGTTGAAACACAGCAAATGTGGCCATGGTGGTGGGGGATGGGAAGGATTGCATTTATTTGCCTTGATCCAGCCTGGGAGAAGTCAGGATAGACTCTGGGTTGCTTGGCCCTGGGGGCAGCTTGAGCTGGGACTGGCGTGGGGGCTCCTGAGGGGCTGCCTAGGACACTGCAGCTTTTGTGCCTTCTCCCGGCTGCCAACACCCCCCCACACACTGCTGCAGCCACTCTAAAGCCCTTTGTCTTTCACTGCTTAGTCACCCCCTTTGTCCTCATCTCAAATAGGGGAGTGGAAAGGGGCAATAGAGTTCTCTGGTGATAGCTCCTCTTGCCCCTGCCCCTTCTGGTCTCCCATCCCTTGTCTGACTCCTCTAGTCCCAGCCCCCTTGGCTTAGAACCAGGGTCAGGCAAGTGGTGGGTCAAGAGGTGGGTCTGGCAGTCACAAGGGGGTGGGTGATCCAGGAAGTGACAGGCACCAGGGCAGGTATTACCGACCTGAGCAGGAAGGGAGGGGGAAAGGAAGTATTCTGACGGATATGATATGCGGAGGACAGGAGGTGACAAAGCAGAGTTAATAGGGGAATAGAGGCAGTAGGAGGTGGTCCACTTCTGGGAAAGGAAAGGGACTGCTGACTGCACTCTCCTTCCTGGGGATTTCCTGGGGAAACAAGCAGCCAGAGGATGGGGTGAGCAGAAATTGCCCCTACTTCTGAACCCTTCCTTGCCTTGAGAGTTCACACCCAAGACCTCTTTTGCGAGTTCCCTCCTATCCAAAGTCAAAGGAATAATTTGCTTCCTTCCCTAACACCACCTCTTCCTCCCCAGCCACTCTCCCACCCCAGGCAATGGATTTCTCCCAGTACCCTAATTTCCCTATAAGCACAATGCTGCCTCCACCCTCTCCCTGCCACAGGGAGAATTAAAAAGAAAAGATTACTAGATATTCCAGGAACCAATGGGTTCTCAGAGCAAGGTGGGGTGGGTGGTGGGAGCCAGGTGGGGATTCCCCCAGACTGATACTGGATGAATCTGGGTTCCTGAGAGCAAGTCTTGCCTATGCTGGGGGCTGGCTGACTTGAGGCTGGGGGAGGGTTTAGGGCAGTTGGGAGTGGGTAGGAGAAGGGCCAAAAGCCTGGGGGAAGCTACTGGGAGCTGGGCCAGGGAAATGGGGAGTCAGGAAGTGGGGAGGGGGAACCCTGGGGGGAAACGGAGGCGGAATGGATGTTCTGGGCTTTGGAGGGGGTGGGTAGTGGTAACTCAGGAAGCGGGATCCTGAGGGAGGGAAGGGACATTAGAAAAGAGGAGGTGCCACCCTGGATCAGCCTATAAAAGGAAAAGTCGTTAACCCCTCCTGCCTTGTCATCTGCCGTCTCCAGTACGTTCATTCCAAGCAGGATCATCCTACCTTTGGGCAGTCAACTCCCTGATCACTGTCTCCTTGCCTCCCCCATTGCTCTGCCTCTTTTACTCTTCCCAGTTGCTCAGTTCTATCCTGAGCCATGTCAAGTTACCTCCTTTCTTTGTTCTTCCCTCTTGATGTCTCCTTACCTGTTCCCTACCCTCTTTTTTCAGGCAGTTCACTCAGTCCCCGCAGCCCTGGAAACCAGCCACTAGGGCCAAAGGGCAGCATGAGGGAACCTTGAGAAAAGAGAGGCCATGCTAGGTTAGACTATAAGAGCAGAAGTTCTCCCAGGACCGTGATCCTATCTGTGCATGCTGGCCAGGCCATTTCCCTCACTCTCTGCCTCTCCTGGGGCTCTGTCCCACCAAAAAGGGAAAGAGACAGCTGAGGGCTGATTGTGGAGTTTGGGAAAAGGCTATGTCATCAGCTGGCCCAGTGCCTATTATCCATTCGACTGCTAGAGATTCCCCTCCCCTGGGCAAGTCCCATTTTTTTGGGAAGCGATGATACACCCATCTGAGTCCCATCGACAGAGCTCAGCTGAGTGGCTTAGAGATCAGCCAATCAATCGCAGAGGCTCACCATGCTTAAAAGAGCTGGCGCGGAGAGAGGCTGGGGAGAATCCACAGGGAGACCCACAGACACATAGGCACGAGAGAGACAGAGGAGGAAAGAGAGACAAAGGCACAGCGGAAGAAGGCAGAGACAGGGCAGGCACAGAAGCGGCCCAGACAGAGTCTTCCTACAGAGGGAGAGGCCAGAGAAGCTGCAGAAGACACAGGCAGGGAAAGACAAAGATTCAGGAAAGGAGGGCTCAGGAGGAGAGTTTGGAGAAGCCAGACCCCTGGGCGCCTCTCCCAAGCCCAAGGACTAAGTTTTCTCCATTTCCTTTAAAGGTCCCCAGCCCTTCTGAAAACTGCCTCTGACCTTGGCAGGAGTCCAAGCCCCCAGGCTAACAGAGAGGAGTTTTCCAAAGCTAGGGTGTGGAGGACTTGGTGCCCCAGACGGCCTCAGTCCTTCCCAGCTCCAGTACCAGTGCCATGTCCCAGACAGGCGCGCATCCCGGGAGGGGCTTGGCGGGGCGCTGGCTGTGGGGAGCCCAACCCTGCCTCCTGCTCCCCATTGTGCCGCTCTCCTGGCTGGTGTGGCTGCTTCTGCTACTGCTGGCCTCTCTCCTGCCCTCGGCCTGGCTGGCCAGCCCCCTCCCCCGGGAGGAGGAGATCGTGTTTCCAGAGAAGCTCAACGGCAGCGTCCTGCCTGGCTCGGGCGCCCCTGCCAGGCTGTTGTGCCGCTTGCAGGCCTTTGGGGAGACGCTGCTACTAGAGCTGGAGCAGGACTCCGGCGTGCAGGTCGAGGGGCTGACAGTGCAGTACCTGGGCCAGGCGCCTGAGCTGCTGGGTGGAGCAGAGCCTGGCACCTACCTGACTGGCACCATCAATGGAGATCCGGAGTCGGTGGCATCTCTGCACTGGGATGGGGGAGCCCTGTTAGGGGTGTTACAGTATCGGGGGGCTGAACTCCACCTCCAGCCCCTGGAGGGAGGCACCCCTAACTCCGCTGGGGGACCTGGGGCTCACATCCTACGCCGGAAGAGTCCTGCCAGCGGCCAAGGTCCCATGTGCAACGTCAAGGCTCCTCCTGGAAGCCCCAGCCCCAGACCCCGAAGAGCCAAGGTAGGCAGCCCTGGAGTCTGTGTCCTGCGGTGTCCTCCCGCCATGTCTGTCCTACTGACCCCTATTCACCCTCTCTCCACCCACTTCCACTTCTGGCCATTCTGCTTCCCTCCCTTCTGCCTGCCTTTCCTCTTTCCATGAGCCTCCTTTCTTGGTGAGGCTCAGGCCTCTCCCCTTCACCCTTCTCCTAGCCAGACCCACCAAGGGTTCTCAGAGGTGGGTCAGAGACTCTGGGCTGGGAATAACTGCTCCCCCTCCCCACCCCACCCCTTCCTGGCCATGGCATCTCCTACTGGCACAGTCCCCAGCAGTAAAGGTCTCCTAACAGCCCCTTGGCTTTGGTTCTTTTCTCTGCCCCAAATTTGATTTTCATCCCTCACCCCCAGCTAAAGGAGTGAGATTTGAGGCCCTAGGGCTTGGTGTCTGGCTTCTGATGCTGCCTTTAAAATCACTGTGGCAAACTGCAAACTAGGGCAGGAGTGGCGAGAGAGGGAGGATATCCCATACCTCCTTCTGGTCAATCCCCTTCCCACACTGTGGCCGGACTGCGAGGCTGCCTGAAGCTCCATCCTTTCCTCCCTCCCACTCCTGGTCTCCCGCTTCTTCCCTTCCCTCCTCCCTCCTCCCTCTCTAGCTTTAATCCAGACCAGACGCTCCCTCCACACCCGCCACGCTGAGCTCTGGCCCTGGCCCTAGCTGCTGACTGAATCGTTCCTCCAACCACACAGGGCAGACACGTTGCAGCCCAGCCCTCTAGCCCTGGTCCCATAGGTCCCAGCCACACTCAGGCCTGGAGAACCCCAAAGTGCCTCTTGACGGCAGTCCAGGCGGCTCTCACCTCTGGGGCTCCCGCAGCCCCGGGATGTGGCGTCCCCTTCTCCTCCCCTTCTTAGAACCAGCTGCTGATTCCTCAGAGTTACCACAAAAGCCCTGGGATTTGGTGTTGGGGGAAGGGCC